GTTTTAATACAAGTAATCAACCTGTGTAGTATAGCTAGTTTTTAACCTATTCTGAACAAAGTTAGATCGAACATGAGTGGACGTGGCGACATGAACTGTAACGACATGGCTACAAAATAGTTTTAATACAAGTAATCAACCTGTGTAGTATAGCTAGTTTTTAACTTATTCTGAACAAAATATATTTTGGTCCGGAGGACTTATTTTAAAAGTTGAGGATAGTTTCCTCGATTCGAGCGGATGCATCCTTTTGTGTATTAAAATTAACATAAGTTAAAAGTTTCTGTGTTGCAGATAATTCACAATTAATCGTTAACAATTAGTAATAATTACATTGCGGTTGGCAATATTAACTAGTGAATAAAACCATAGTGACTACATTTTAATGGTTGCGTTTTCCCCTACTAACAGTGTTGTGAACATATTTCCAAAAGCATTTAGCAAGATTTAATCATGATAGGACGTATTCAAACTCTTAGTGCTAAACAATAATTTAGGGCCTGCATGATTAATAAAATATATAACCGGTTAATCGAACATTTTTTTAAATTTCGTAATTTACACAATTTATCTTACATCTAGCTTACCTTCTTTCGGAATTCTCCAGTTTTTTTTCAAAGTAAATTCCGGCTTGATTGATTATCATAATATACCGCAAATATAATTTGTATAGTGGTTTGTTCGTTTGTATGGAATATATTAAAAACAGTTTAAATTTTTGAACCAAATCTTACCGAATGAAAGTGACCCCTATATGGTAATCTCTAGTTACAGTATATCAATTAAAGTTTTTAATAGTCTTTGTACTTTGCAGGTTGTGGTTTTATCATAAGGCGAGAAAGTAATTTCATTTTGCACATTTACATGCAACTGGAAGATGTGAAGTCATGCCATCTGCCTGAACATTATGTTTATGTGTGTGTACAATAAGGAAACAGTGAAACACAATAAACATAATGATAATAGAACTATCTTTTTTTTTCGTCTAATTTTTATGTCATATTCAAATGAATATGTAATTGACTAAATCAAATGAAGATTTTTAGAGATCAAATGTCAAAACTTGCATATTCTGAAATCATTATTATGGCTACAAATAAAATGTTGATTTATATAATTTATTTAGAGCTATACTGATTCGTGAAATATTTAATAGCGCAGTACATATAGTGTATGGCAGATAAAATATCTTGATACTTGTGGTATTCTATCGAGGAAGTTTGTCTTTTCAGTGTCGTTAGACTTGCCGATTTTTGAGAGGTAACACTTACACTTTTATGACACATACGCGTGAGGTTTCGCATGTTAGAGGTTCCACCACTATACGATAAACTTTTGGAATACGAACTACTTTTAGTCTTTTTCTTATTTTCACTTACTTGGAAAAATTTCCAAATTTCTGACGAGTATTTTTTTCTATATTGATATTTATTGCCTTCTAGTTCCTCTATAGACTCAAGTAAGCGTCATCGACTTATCGCGCATATTCATTGTAATGTCTAGACTACAACCCAAACAAGTTTGGTTTGGTTTGAATTTTGCTCAAAGCTACACAAGGGCTATCTGCGCTAGCCATCCCTAATTTAGCATGAAAGACTAGATGGAAGGCAGCTAGTTATCATCACCCACCGCCAACTCTTAGGCTACTCTTTTACCAACGAATAGTGGGATTGACCGCCACATTATAACGCTCCCACGGCTGAAAGGGTGAGCATGTTTGGTGAGACGGGGATTTGAACCCGCGACCCTCATATTGGGAGTCGAATGCCCTAATCACCTGACCATGCCTGGCCCCAACCCAAACAAAAGACAAAGCTCTGCAGTGTTTCTCTAAGTTCCTCACCAGGTTACCAATCTCGTGCATGCGCACACCTCGCAACCCGGAATTGCACCAAAAATCATGTAATGAAATAGTACTGTATACTGTGTATGGTACGGTAGCACCAGAAGTGAAAGTGGCTAGAGATGGATATAGTAACAGGGAAGGAAACAACTTACGCGAAAATATTGTCAAAATTATGAAATTCAAACTATGTTTCGAATATGCCTTTACTCTACAGATCTAATTAATTAACGATTAATTGGTTAGCAATTTTGTAACAGGTCATTCGCGATTAACACAAACAATCTAACCGCTAACAGTTAATCGTTTAATCGTGAAGGCCCTACAATGATTCTACAGTAAGTTATAAGTCATCAACTTATTCCGCAGTTTTAATTTGAAAACAAATAAACATGTAAGAATCAATAAAACTTTGAAATACGATTGTTATTTAAAACCAATAATCAAATATCTAGATACATATACTTTATGGATGCAGGAAAATAGCGATGTTTTGAGATCATGTAGTAGCAATGTCATACTTTAGACACATTTAAGAAAACCACAAGGTCAAATGTTTGCTGGCCCACCGTATGTAGTAGTATCTTTTGTTGAAGGTAATCTAACACTACTAATGTTTTTTTCTCTCTCGACGAATGATTTAGAAACACTAGACCCCCCCCCCCCCAGTGGCACAGCGGGATGTCTGGAGACTTGAAACGTTAGAAACCGGGTTTCGATATCCGTGGTGGGCAGAGCACAGATAGCCCGTTGCGTAGCTTTGTGCTTTACTACAAACAAACAAACAAATAAACTTATTAATTAATCTAATCCATAAACTTATTTTAAGGTTTAAAATTTAAATGTGATCTCATAACAATAGATTATGTTAAATGTCTTCAAACTGTATATCGGAATTCAATTAATATCAGGTTTAAATTATGCTTTTTTCTTTTTGTTTACCTATTTTACAAAAATATAAAACCCCTGATATAAATATGCCTCATAATGAAGAATCACAATAAAGCCTACAACGCTCTAGTTGCGGACCCTGTCACAGTGAAATTATGAAAATTAAAATGTTATTATCATCTCATTATAAAGTTAGTAGTAGCTTATGCAACGACGTACATCTTTATCAGTTAATGGTATATTGTACCGAAGTTTAAGCTTTGATTATCTTGTATACCTAAGACACATTCGATTTTATGGCCCCCCAGTGGCACAGCGGTATGTCTGCGGACTTCCAACGCTAGAATCCGGGTTTCGATATCCGTCGTGGGCAGAGCACAGCTAGACCATTGTGTAGCTTTGTGTTAAATTACAAACAAACAATCATTGAATAGAGTTGTTTAAACATTTGTTTAACAACAAGTAGGTTTCTTTTTTGTGAGTGTAAAACACTTAAATACACCATTTCGATTTTCGATACCTCACTACTATAAAAACTTGGTTTGGTCTATTATTTCATTGGTGGTAGTCTCCAGGGTCACT